TTCCCCCGCAGCAACAATACAATAGAATAAGTACTGCAGGGTTGCTCAGTGGCATTATAGTAGATTTGATTTTTGGTTTAATTTAAACTAAAAATTCTGCATTTCAATAAAAAAAAAAAATAATCATCAAAAATCTGACAAAATGACTTAAGACAGAAAAAAGACTACAAGTTACTTGTTACCACGGTACTGTTATAGAAATAATTCGACAACATATTGTGCCCCAGGTTCTTGGCTGTGCAGATAACAACTATTTGGTGTTTCTGCATTGACTTTATGTTAATATCCCTTTTTGTCGATCCATCTGTGTTTTTTTACGTAGGTTTGTCACACGACAAACACTGTACAGTATGGTGGTCAGATGGTCTTAGCATCTGGCCGTGGAGCTTCACATTTTAATGTGGTTAGATCCCATATGGTGTTCAAGTTCATAAAGTCCAATTAAGTGTTCTCGCACTTTAGATAAAAGCTGTTAATTATTGCAAAATCTACACTTTCTCCTTGAGTGTTTGATCATATGTTACTCATTACTCACTGTCAAGCCATAGGGAGCGTGCCAACAATTATGCAGACAGACTGGCAAGTAGGCAGGGAGGTAAGACAGAAGAATAGCATAGCAGAGTGTTGTAGTCTGCTACAGATAGACAGATAAACAGGATGTCAACATACAGATTTACAGGACAGTATATAGACAGACAGACAGGTACAAAGACAGGCTTTGGGAGTGGTTGTGAATAACAGAGACAGAAGGTTTTTACAAAACCCTGTAGAGCTCCATATCTCTAACACCGGAGGAAAAAAAACATACAAAACCCTTTGATGTTCAAATCATTTAACAGTGAGGAAGAACCATTTTGACACACTGCCACTTCATCATGGTATTGAATGCATAGAAAACACGAACAACAGCTCTACTTAAAGCTGCCCTCCTTTTCCAAGGAATGAAGAAATCAGTTCTGTGTGTGCATACTGTATATGCATGTTAGCATGTTTGTGTGTGTGTGTGTGTGTATCTTTTGTAAAAAAGGGAACAATGTTTCCTTTGAAGTTACTCAGCTCAGGCTTCAGCAGTGCACTTCACCTTTATATTACCTTTTCTCTGGCTCTTTCTATGCCTCCCCTATTTATTCTATAATTCTGTAGTATTCTTTTTAACCTCTCCTTCGTCTCCACCTTCCTCCATTATTCAACTTTTGTCTTCCGCTATTGACATTCTCCCTCTCCCCTCTCCCCCCTTCCTCTTTCTTTTCTCCTCATTTCCCTCCCACATCTAAATCTCTCCCACCCCTCAGCTTGTCATCGTAATTTAAGGGCAGCTGCATGCCAGCAAAATATAACACCACCACCGCCACCATTGCCACCAGTCACTTACATCACCAACATGATAATGTGTAGCTGGAGACAGAGAGCTTTGCATGGTTGGTAATGAACAAATGTTGTGGAGGGAGCTGCGTCGATATTCTCCATTAAATTAGTCATAAAATACTGCTATTTCTATACACATTTTTTTTTCTTGTGAACAAGATAAATATTGGAAAGAATGGACATGTGGGAAAGGTTATCAACTTGAATAAAACTCAATATGAATTACATAGTGTAGCTTGCTGATGTTGCTGCTTTCTCTGATAGATTTGTGGAACTAATTTATGTCTTTAAGCCTGTCCTACGATATATATTATAGAGGGTACGATGGACAGAATGAAGCTTTTTTTTATGTGTTTAGAATAATGGTAATGAATACCCAAGCTAAGTCAAGGCATCTAATTATGCATGTATTTTGTCTTTTATGATCACCAGCATCAGTGGTTTCCAAGAATGCTGACAATCTCTCTCGGTGTTTCTGTGCCACACCAGCTCAAATATTCAACAGCCTCAACCATCATATCAGTGGGTTTTTAATCCAGTGTCTACAGGACCCAGAGTCCTGACATTTTGTCTAGTTATCTGACTGATTAACCGATTAGCTGCATATAAAACCGGAGTGACTCACTAGGTATACCAGAATAACTGATAATAGCGGCAGTGTCCCTCTGATGTAGTTTCTCTTTTCAGCCAGCCACTTCATTAACCATCCAGGCACACAAGTACACACACAAACACACACCATTTCCTGGGAGAGCATTTGTTTGCTTTCATTTGACGGTTTTGGAGGATCTGGACAGCACAGATGTCTGCCTTGGCACACAGAGAGTACCACCAACATTGATTGGACCGGATCGGCAGGAAAGGGGCACAGCATAAAAGGTTGGAGAAAAAACAGAGAGGGAGTTCTGCCCTGCCCCATGCCCATCCTTTTTTTGTTAAATGGATAAACTATCCAAAACCTAACTGAGCTGAAATGTATGTATCATTACTATATTAATCTGTAAATGGAAAAAAACAGAACATTTGTCATAGTTGGAAATTCTCTCCTCAACCCACTGGTTGAAGAAGTACTATTGCTAACTGTGAATACTTTTAATGCAGCTGGGTAACACATCATAAATTATTAGTTGATTACATTTTTTTTAATAACCAGCAAAGCAGCAAGTAACTAAAGCTGTCAGATAAGTGGAGTGAAAAGTGAAATATAGTGGAGAAGTATAAAGTAGCATAAAATTGACAGTAATACAGTACAGTAATAATACTTAATGTACTCAGTGGCTTTCCACCACTGCCTTAATCTGCTTTACAGAAATGTTTAGCAGATTTGTTAGGCTGCACCTGTCCAGGTGACATTGCCAGTGCTGTCTAACTTTGTCACTTTAGTAAGGGCTTGGAGCTCATTAGCAGCCAGGACTAGCTCCTGTGGAGTTACAGATGTGTATTCACATGTTGGCAGGGTCTCTCACCACCCTGCTGTGACAAGGTCAGTTCCCCGCTGTTCCCAAGCGCACTATTGTGTCTGGTCCTAGTCCCATCTGTATCATCACACTTGATATTTGTGACCGGACACCTTGCTGATTGTGTCGGTCTGGTTTAAGCAGTGCGTGCCACCGGTACCAAGAATATGGGCTCAGTGTTGCTGAGTTTTATCTGCTGCCACATTCTTGTATTTTTCCATTGCTAGTTCCAAACAGCCAACAAATGGGCGGACGAATTGCATCTTGTAACATGCTACCCTGTGCTGTTTACTTATTTCACTGTGCCAACCAGCGTTGTGTCTTCTAGGTTCTTGGAATGGTTGTACCGTGAAAACTCTCCGAGCTGTGAGAGACATTAATAATGTATTTGTGTTCATGTTACCTGGCCATCCTATGACACTTTACTGCATACCAACAACAAGGTGAAACAACTTCAAAAACATAAGAGCTTAGCTGTAGTTTTCTTTTGATTTACATCCTACTATAAATATGAAAATTCTATTGTAGTTAGTTAGTTTGGGTATATAAAGCAGGCCTTTTACATACAGGAGTTGGATGTGTGATGTAAAGCAAAGGTGTAGCCCCCGAGGGAGAGTAAAGTGTTTTGGCTGACTTCAGGTGGCCCCCTGTACAGGTGCCACATTTTTTTATTTTTATTTTTTTGCTTTATAGCTGCATTATAACTCCTTGGGGGCCTCATAGAGAAAATTCTTTGCAGTATTAATGCTGTACATTACAGATGATGGATTGACAGTGTGTAGTCTTTGTGCTTAGTGTGTAGTGTTGATTTACTGTAGCATTGGAATGATTGAATTCAGTTTGCAATGTGTTTCCAGGGTGGGTGGGTAGTGATGAAGGGCAGCCGTTAGCCAGATGTTTACTTTGGGGGTCACTGATGTAACTAATTAAAAATGGACACACGTACATTATTGGTGATTGATCAACAGCGTTTGGTGCATTGTTTTGTGATATTACATGTTTGTGGGTACATTGTGAGAAACTTGTGACCTAAAGGAAAGGGATTGCAATATATATTTTCTCTGTTGTCAACAAATCTAATTGAAAGACTATTGTTGTCCCAAAACTATTAAAAACACAACAATGGGCCACACCACTGCACTGGATGGCATGTATTACTGTATTACTGTGAAACTGGGCACTGTCCTTTACTTTGACTCCCAGTGCAGAAGAAAATTAACACTAGAGCACCAAATGTCTATAAAACCATGGCTGCTTCAGTTACATGCTAATAATTAAAGTGCCCAGCGGTTTTAGGAAATTACCTAACCTTTCCTGAATGAAACTAATCTGATTTAAAATATTTACATCTTCAGTAGGGAGACATGTGCTTGGACTGAGTGCTATAGACAAGGTAGGGAAGTACAAAGTATTGAAAGACTGACAAATAAACTGTTTGTGTCAACAGTTTTCAATTTGCCAACAGTTAAAATACCCACCAGACTCATTCTTTAACTTTTGCAGAAATTTGTTCCATGACGATAATTAACTTGCAATTAATGCAAACTGGTCCCAAATGTATCTTGATCCGATAACTTGCGCTGTAACACCTTATCGCAGTAAAAGTTTTCTTCTCTGAGCTGAGTGTAGTTCTAAGGTGAGAGGGCAAGAGGCATGGAGTGAAATCATTAATGCAAGGACTTACAAGACAACAGCCAGAAAAGAATGGATCACTGAAATAGAGTGACTGCATAGGAGAGGTCATTTACTGTAGAATGAGAGAGAACAAGTGGTGAGATAGCAGCAGCACCTTCACAGCTCAGCCCATCCTCCCAGTGACAGCGCAGCGTTACGTGCTGCTTCTCCGCTTTGTCGTCAGAGCAGCCCCAGCCTCCCACCCACACGCAACTCCTCTCCGCTCTGCACCAGAAAGGAGCATCCTCTTCTCTCCGCCCTCTCTCTCTTCGTATCCTCTCTCTTTCTCTCTCTCCCTCTCTCCCTCTCTGTCTCTCTCTCCCTCTCTCCCTCTCTGTCTCTCTCCTCCCTCTCTCTCTCCCT